AGCAGGCCGGTCACTTTGGGTTCCTGAAATCAGCATATAGGGGTTAGGCACCATTTGATGCAATGTCACAGTGATCTGAGTGACGGCTCTTAAATCCTGACAGAAACAAATAGAGCCATCCGGCTTTTTAACAGGCCGTATTGGTGTATTATAAGGACTAACAGTTTCCCTTAGAAGCCCATAAGCAAGGAAATTAGTAATAAGGGGCTCTAACCCTTGTAAAGCCTCCAAGCTAATTGGATATTGACGAAAGGAGACTGGCAGTGCATCAGGGTGCAAGGCTACTTCCACCGGAACTGCGTTAATAGCCCGGTCAAGGACCCCTGAATACCATACATTGGAGTCAACAAAACAATCTAACAAACCAGGACACTCGTGTGTCCTCAGAGGAGGAAAGTTGAAGGGTCAGGACATGCCAGGCTTGTTCAGGGGGAACTGATAATTCAACCTGGTCCCCTTTGAAAGAGATAGTTGCCTGTAACTTAGCAAGTAAATTACGCCCTAAAAGGGGCATAGGGCAATCTGGAAGGTAAAGAAATTGATGAGTAAGGCGAGTATCACCTAAAGAACATTCTAAAGGGTCAAGTATTGCTACTGACATAGATTGGCCACTGGCCCCAATAACCTGGAAGTTTGTGAGGAAGAATTTCCAAGGGGCTTATTTAATACTGAATGTGATGCCCCTGTATCAATCAAAAAAGGCATTGTTTTCCCTCTGACTTTAAACTTTACCAGGGATGCAGAGGGAGAATCATTTGAAAGGGCAGGGAGACAAAGGCCCCCCCAGCCCGACTCCCCTAGTATTTAAAGCATGGTTGTGGAGTAACACGCCCTATAGGATGGCTGGGAAGGGAACGTAAAGGACATTCCCTGCCCCACTGGCCAAATTTCTTACATATACGACACTAGTTCTGTCTTAGGGCAAAAGACTGTATTGGACGTTCCAGGGGTGCCTGCAATCTTGGTGGCATCGTTCCACTTTTCTCCCGAGGGGATCCTACTGCTCCTCGACATCCTCTTCCGCGAGTCCCACTTCTTCCTCCTCCCTCTGGGGGTACCTGTTATAGAGCTTGAGCCAGCAAAACAACACTTTGTTTTTCATCCCTTTTAACCCCTTTGGCTGTCACTTCTGGTCTTGAGACATAGGTTTTATAAGCTACTTCCAACAATTTTCCAATTGTGTCAGCTGAAGCCCCTTCCAGCTTCTGTAATTTGCGCCTAATATCTGGGGCACTCTGCCCAATAAAGAGCATGTTCTGGAGCTTCTGGATCCAAATCACTATATTTTCTGAAGGCTTGGTAGAGGCGCTCAAGGAAGTCATTGGAGCTCTCTGATGGCAATTGATGAACATCATAAATTTTGCCCAAGTTTTTCTGTTTAGGGATAGCAGTTTGCAATGCAGAGACAAGGTCTTGAAAGCCTTTTAAGTGTTCATATTCTTTGCTTTCATAAGTATCAATGACCCATCTAGGGTCAGTTTCAGGACAAAGAACCTTCCTTTCTTCAGCTAATCTTTTTGCAGCATTTCCTACCAGACGTCTTTCCTCTGATGTTAAAAAGACATCCAGCATGGCTTGGAGGTCTGCCCAATTAGGGTTATGAGTTCGAATAATAGACAGAACCAATTCAGAATATTTGTGTGGGGCTGCAGTATAAGAACCTAATCGGTCCTTCCATGCATAAAGGTTAGATGTGGAGAAGGGGGTATGAACCAGAACCTTATTAGTGTCCCCCCTTCCAATCGTTACCTGCTCTGTAAGGGGGTAAATCCCCTTACAAGGTGGCGGAGCAGAGGATAAAGCAGGAAAAGGTGGTGCTGTGGGAAGGTGCCACAACCCACAGTCCTCAAACATCTGCTTATTCCTTTGTAAAATCCAAAAAAGGGCATAAGCTTGTTGATCATGATCCATGCCTCTTTGAGCATAATCTCCCATAGTTTCAAAAAAACCCAAATCTATGGACCCCCCTTTGGGCCAAACAGTAGGCATATCCTGATGCCAGAGGTCATTGTACTTAGTTAGAATTTCAATTTTCATATCCAGACAGGTTTTAAGCTTATCAAAGTTCCTGATAACACACTCAAGGGGGCTGAGGGCACATTCTTTTTTTTAATTCATTTTAACAAGTTTTCCTTGGGCTGAGCTCATGTGTCTAACTCTCTCACACCACGTGCACAGCCTGTTGAGCCACAAGAGAGCCACCAATTCCCCTTGTGATGTAGGGATCCCCAGTTAACAGCTTAATAGCCTCGCAGGGGCCTACCGGTGGCTGGAATTGGTATCACACCTAGGCCTGGTCAACAGCGGGAAATATATAAGGAGCAACCACAAACCTCAGATCACAAGTTCAACACTCACAACCTGTTGGAGCATGAGAGTACAAGGTTGCCCCCCTTGCTTTCTAAATGCCCCCCAGATATGCGGGGGGTCTAGGTGCGGCTGAGGCAAACTCTTCCACTCAGCTCTGGTCAACAGTGGGAAATGATTGAAGGAAACAGACACGCTGTTACACACATATGTACACACTCCCCTGGGCAAGCCTGTGCAATATAAGCTTACCTTATCTTCAGCCCTCCTGAGTATGCAGGAACCAAATGAAGGTAACAACCACCACAAAAAAAAGAAAAAAACTAGTTCTTATTTAAAAGCCGCAGTGAAGAGTCAAGAAGGGCACCTCCAGGAAACCCGAGAGCGCACTTGGCGCCTTTCCCCTTCTCGAACCTCCCTAGGACCAAGCACCTCTCCTGGCTGGCTCACCAAAAATGATATGCAGGTTCTGAGGTTTTGCTTGATTAGAAGGCAGTTTTGGTGACCAGGCATGAAAAAAGACATTGAGAGTTATGTGAAAAGCTGTGCCACCTGTGCTGCTATGAAGAAACATCCTGGAAAGCCTCCAGGGCTCCTGCAGCAAGTAGCTGACCCTTTCCGCCTTGGGAAGAAATAGCTATGGATTTTATAGTGGACCTGCCCCCGAGAGCAAAGGAAATACTATAATATGGATTGATCTATTTTCCAAACAAGCTCATTTCATCGCTTGTTCAGGGCTTCCCTCTGCTCAGAAACTGACCAATATGTTTTTGAAGCACATCTATCAGCTCCATAGAGCTCCTAAGCGGATTATTTCAGACAGAGGGGTTCAATTCGTTCTGGGGGGGGAGTTCGTTAAGCTTATTGGGTCTACTCAGGGACTTTCATTGGCAGTACTAATGGGGCAGCTGAACATGCGAACTCAATAGTGGAGCAGTACCTCAGATGCTATGTTAATTACCAGCAGACTAATTGGGGCAATGTTCTGCCTTTCACTAAAGTAGCCTATAATAATACTGTGTACAGTAGCACCGGCCTTACACCGTTTAAGATAATTACTGGGAGGGATTTTGTGCCTACGCCTGAATACCCCCAGGAGCCACCTGCCTCCCAAACTTTGGATCAGTGGGTGACCTCCTTCCAAAGTGTTTGGGCGAATGTAAAGAAAGCTTAACCCAAGCCGCTAAGTTTACAAGGAGCAGGCTGATAAGAAACGCTCCCCTCAAAGACCATTTTATATTGGGGAAAAGGTTTATCTTTCAACTAAATATTTGAGATTGAGATTACCCAGCAAAAAATTGGGGCCAAAGTTTCTGGGTCCTTTTCCTATCACCAAAATCATAAATCCTGTTACCATGGAGTTAAAGCTTCCACGGCTTTTGGGGAAAGTCCACCCTGTGTTCCACTGTAGTCTGTTGAAACTGTTTCTGAATCCTCTTTAAGACCTATTATAAAGAAGCTGCCGGGTCCAATAGTGGTAGAGGGAGAAACACATTATGAGATAAAATGAATTCTTGATTCTAGGTTGTACTAGGGGAAGTTACAATATCTCATTCAGTGGAAAGCCTATCCACTGTCAGAAGTTACATGAGTGAAATATACAAATGTGAAAGCAGAAAGGTTAATACAAAATTTTTACAACAAATATCCTCACAAGCCTCAAGGAAATGCTTGTTTCCCCTACAGGAGACTCTTTTCTTTTAAGAGGGGCCGACTGTCAACTCTACACTGAGCGTGGCTGCAGCCATTTTTTCTTCTTATTCTAGATTGCCACATAGAACGGAGGGAGGGGGGTTACCCAGGTGCTTCATTAGCCAAAATAACTTTCTATCCTATGGGAACCATGGTCATGTACTGCTCCCGCAATCAGGGACTGGCTGTTGTATAAAAAAGCCCGCCAAATGAATATATTGGGGAACGTAGTTGATTACATAGTTTTGTGGATGGGACATTATAATTTGTAATTGGGAAATTGTTACTTGTGTATTCAGATGGTTTCACTTTTGATCGTGCCGATACTTTGTAACTAATAAACAGTTTCTTTGAGAAATTTTCAAACCTCCAAGTTCTGTTTTATTTGTCTCTGTTTGTCGGAACCATGACAATATTTCGTGAATTATTAATACACGTGTTTCCTGAGGTATTAGCCCAGGTACTATTATTTCCCCAACATTCAACTATGAAAACAATGAATTCATTTAAATTTTCTACAATTGTTTTATCCATTGTTCGTATTAATTTAATTTCACTGTCACTTATGGTCTAACATCCAAATGCATGTTTCCAGCTTCTTATTAGCAATATGTTTCTGAAGATTTTTGCATGTTGTATGTAATGATAGATATAAACTGTTATCTGTTTAAAATTTTCAGTTGCAATTCAAAATACCAAAGTGGCATTCTGGGAACAAGCAAGAAAAAAGGTGATATACAAAACAGAATTAAAAAATGCAAAACAGAATTAAAAATATAAACTGATTTATAAATTATGCCTCCATATAGAATGAAAGAACTGGGACTATGATTACTCATACAATTAAACTTAAAATTCCCTCATAATTAAAATATGTTCATGAAAATATCTGGATGACACTAAAGATCTCAGGCTTAACACTTTACCATTAAAGGTGATAAACACATGGAAATATATAACATTAGAATACAAAGTTTAGCATAAATTCAGAACTAACTTACCAGTTCACAAACATCATGACACATTAAGTTATTCTTCGCAAGGTAACAGCATGATGCACCTGTACGAAAACATACTTTTCAACCTCAATAAATATTTGCATTTTGTAATGTTAATGGAACTTTTTTCTTTTTATACTTGTTGTTTAGAAGTTCTACTTTAAAACTGAACACTGAAATGATAGTCATTGCCAAGCTTCTTACATAATCAAAGCTGTAAAAATTATACAAACTCAGTAAGATGTTTAATTCAAAAATTAGGTGTAAAAGATAAAATGTAGGATACTACAACAGACCCTCCCCATCCTTCATTTATTATTGAAGCACAAAAAAGGTACACATTTTTCCAACATTTTATTTTTTTTCTTTCCAAGCTTTTTATAGCCAGGCTGACTTGTCGTTTATGAGGTAAACTACTAATGAACTCCTCTCCTATCAAATGGTTATTTATACCTAGCATAATCTTCTAATATTTTCCAAACTCACTAGAATTTGTTGCAATAGTCTCATTGCCAGGAAATTTCTCCTTAGTTGTAGGTTGCTTCTCTCTTTGATTAGTTTCCACCCATTGCTTCTTCTCTTGACTTCTGGTGCTAGAAAATAAGTTGACCCCTTCTTCTTTGTGGCAGACCCTCAAATACTGGAACACTGCTATCATGTCATTCTTAGACTTTTTTTCACTAGCCTAGACATACCCAATTCCTGCAACCATTCTTCACATGTTTTAGCCTCCAGCCCTCCTGATCATCTTTGTTATTCTTGTAGCGGGGCTGTCTGAGAGTGTTTGCAGGAGCTCGGTTGGGAAGGGAGAGATTGGGACAGCTGCTGCTGCCTTTGGGTGTGGCTGGCGTGGGCTGAAGAAAAAGATAGAAAAGGGAAGGGAAGGGACGTGGTGGCTGTTGCAGTTCGTCAGGTGAAGGTAAAGAGGGAGTGGAAAGTTTTATTTGCTTTTCTCCGTAAGGAGGATATTTTAAACGGAGGCTAGAGAGAGGGGGAGTGGAATTTTATTGCTTTCCTTTGTAAGGAGGGTATCTCAAACGGAGGAGAGAGAGAGAGAAAGAAAGAGAGAGAGAGAGAGAGAGAGAGAGAGAGAGAGAGAGAGAGAGAGAGAGAGAGAGAGAGGAGTTTTTATTGCTTTCCTTCGTAAGGAGGATATCTCAAACGGCAGCAAGGGGGAGTGTGTAGAAAGGAGCTGGCTGTGACTCCTAGCCTCAGATGTTAACAATAAAGATAAAGGGGGGGAGGGTTTTGATGCCGAGACCTGACTGAGAAGAAGCAACAGAAGGAGAGGAGAGACTGGTGGTGGCAATTGTTGCTGCGAAGCCTGGAGGCTATTTGGACTGTGACTATTGTTGCTGGCACAAGTTTTAGACTTTGTGGGGGAGTTGCCCTGGGGGGCGAGCTATTGCTACAGCACACTGACTGTTGTTGTTTCTACTACCGTCTGGAGCCGGGGTTTTCCTCCATCCCACTTGACTCTGAATGACCGCTGAGGAATCCTTAATTATTGCTGCTATAACAGCCTTGGGCTGTTGGATACCATCATAGCATTGACTATCGGGGCTGGTTATTTTCGTTCCTGGGAGCCCCTCCTTGACGACAAGAGCCTGCTACCTCCTAACTCTGCACGAGCTCCGGCTGGAAGAGACATCTTACCAACCCCTAGAGAACACTACGGCAGGGCTTGATGAAGGGGGACAGGGCTGGGGGGGCCTGGGCTTTTGCGGCCTCTGAGGAGGAAACGCTACACTCTTCTCTGCACTCTTTCCAGAGTCTCAACATCTGTTTTATATTGTGGTGTGTGATGAACTGGACTTTCATAGGAAAGGTGGTGGAGATTGCAGAATAGACTTATTATATGCAACCAGAAGACAACTGTTAAGAAATTATGTGCTTCAATCTTCAGGAAAACCTACAAGTGCTGCAGAGATATTCTCAACAGACTCTTATGACTTTGGGGAGTGAAATGCAACCATTTGGAAGAATTCCAGTTATAATTTAAAGAAAAAGTTTTATTATCAAGAATCAGTCAATGATATTTGATCCTGGACAGATCGGAGACAATGATTGCAGTGGGTTAATGATAGATTAGGAGTCTTTTGTGGACAAAGTAGACCACAATCTGCTTCTTGGTAAACTAGAAAAATGTGGGATAGACAGCATCACCACCAGATGGATTTGTAACTGGCTGACAAGCCATACTCAGTGAGTAGTCTTTAATGGTACTATACCTATATGGAGGGAAGTAAGCAGTGGGGTACCACAATGTTCCATCTTAAGCTCAGTACTCTTCAATACCTTCATAAATGACTTAGATGGGGGAATAGAAGGGGAACTCATCAAATTTGTAGATGACATTAAGCTGGCAGGAATAGTCAACACCCCAGAAGACAAGCACAGAATCAAAAAGGCTTGAACAATGGGTCCTACCCAACAAAATGAATTATAATGTGGAAAGAAGCAAAGTTTTACATTTAGGGAGAAGAAAACAATGGTATAAGTACAGATTAGGTGAAACCTGGCTCAAAAACAATAACTGTGAGAGGGACTTTTGGGATAACCGTGACCTGGATGACCGAGAATCTTCAGTCATTTAGCTATGCACTTTGGGATGGTACAGGAGTATGAATGGATTTCCAGAAAAATTGCAGATTACAGGAACCATTTGCGCTGCAGTCTGAGAGGGAGACAACAGACTCATCCCCAATAGCCTGCGTCTGTGTTCAACAATGAAGGACACAGAGCAGAAAACATCCTGCAGAAAGCACAGCTCCACAACAGTCCTTTCAGAAGTTCCAAGAAGGCTCCACATCCAGTTGCACTATTCAGGTGACCCTGAGAACACAGACAAATCTCCAACTGGCCTCAAGGACTCTCTAAAAAGGCAAATGACCAATTGTCTTCAAGAAATATAAATCCTTCCATTCCCCCACCATCTAGTCAGAGCTGAAGAAGCTTCTTGGATGAGAAGCAAAACATTTTCAAAGAAAAACAAGAAACTCCAGTTGCCTCTTGAAAAAGCACCTTTGGGATGACCTTGGAATCCTAATGGGTGATCATTTAAATATGAGCCAACAGTGTGCAGCAGCAGCCAAAAAAGCTAATGCAGTCTTTGGTTGTATAAACAGAGGCATAGAATCAAAATCATGTGAAGTTTTAGTACCACTTTATAAAACGTTAGTAAGATTAGACCTGGAATACTGCATCCAGTTTTAATCACCACACTACAAAAAAGATGTTGAGACTTTGGAAAAAGTGCAAAGAAGAGCAACTAAAATGATTAAAGGCCTGGAGACTAAAACATGTGAAGAAAGGTTGCAGGATTTGGATTTGGCTTGTCTAGAGAAAAGAAGGACTAGGGATGACATGATAGCAGTATTCCAGTATTTGAGGGGCTACCACAAAGAAGGGATCATATTATTGTTCAAAGCACCAGAAGGCAGGACAAGAAACAATGGATGGAAACTAATCAAGGAGAGAATCAACTTGGAATTAAGGAAAAACTTCCTAACAGTGAGAAGAATTAATCAATGGAACACCTTGCCTTCAGACATTGTGGGTGCTTCATCATTAGAGGTTTTTAAGACAAGATTGGACAACCACTTGTCTGAAATGGCATAAGGTCTCCTGCTTGAGCAGTGGGCTGGACTGGAAAACCTCCAAGGTCCTTTCCAGCTCTATTCTGATTGATTGATTGATTGTTATTTTGTTTTCAAGAGAAAAGATTTCTTCTCTGAGAATCACAGTATATTGTATGAAGCAAAAAATCTGAAGTTATGCTAAATGGGCAAATAATCATACATATAACATGTAGAAAGCACCATCTAGGCTGCTAGCTAGAATTGCTGCACAGCAGGTTTTTTAATATTAGCTTTACAATGTGTAAACAAACCCTTTGAGAAAGGATATGGAAAGAGAGAAGAGGTAGACTTAGGTTCTACGCAATGAAATTTTTTAACAATAAAAAAGAACTTGCTGCTGGTAGTAGATATATCTATCCTATAAGTTTCCATTCAAATTTCATGATGGTCAAGTCTGATTTCTCATGGCTCACTTCAGATAGCATCTACAATTTACTGATTGTACTGGGTAAGAAATATACTTCCCACCTATTCTTCATTTTTACCAATATATTTGCAAGGTATTTTTTACAATTCTTTCTCTTTTTTTCTTTTTTAAACTTTATTTCTGTGGCTTGCAGGAACTCATGCAAGAATGCATGCTGTGCTCAAAATATTACCAATTGGCAATGGTCAGTCAATGGAAGATTGGAACGAAAAATTGAATTGAGTATTTATTATACCATATGTACCCATCCTTCATCAATAGACTCTAACCATCAAAACAGCAAATAGTGAACCAAAAATGAATTGCAACATTTAAAATTATGTCATAGAAAATATTAAAATCAGCTTTGATTACTTTATTCTTTTTAAAATGATTTTTGCATAATACTTTGAAGTTGAAATTGATGTTTAAACCATCAAATCCAAGCAAAGCAAGAATTCAGATTAAAGCATTCTCAACAGATGGCTGCCCAAACTTGACTTGAAAATATTTAGTGACATATATTCAACTACTTTCTGCAATTTATACCATTCTTTGTTTTTAACTGTTCAATTTAAATCTGCCTTCTTGCAGCTTAAGACTATTATTCATCATGGGACATTAAAGAACAAAACATATCTTCCTATTGAATAACTTTAAATACAGCAAGGTTGTGATTAATACAAATTGGGAATAATGCAATATTCAATTTAGTGTGTATTTAGTGATCTCAGGTTGCGTTTACAGCAAACCAAAATTCAGTTAATGTGAGGTTAGCTCATATGCAGTTGAGGTTACCAAGTTACTGTTAGATGCTGTTATCTCAATATGCACTGGATTCAATAAATACTTCACATGTGTATGTGCTGCTCCTGCCATTTTTGTGATTTTTTAAATTGTTTTAAGAGGTTTTCTTAACAAAGTAGACAAAAGGAAGATTTATTCAGTTAAAAAAATTACAGTACCAGGCATAAAAAAGGAGAGGTTCATTCCATTCCGTGGATTTTATTCCATGGATTTCATGGATTCCATCCATTTCATTGATGAAAATTTTAAAAGGGGAAAACGGCTCAAGAAGCTTTGGTAACTTTGAAAAATATGGTTATAAAAGCCCAGTCTAGCACAATACCACTTAAAAAGAAAAATAAAAATCCAAGAAAAAAACAGCATGGTTACACAAAGAACTCTGATAAATTAAGAGACAAAAAGGATAAGTATAAAAAAATGGAAAGAGAGACACACAAAACTAAGGCAGAATACCAGCATATAGCCCAAATCTGCAGAGGAAGTTAGAAAAGCTAAGGCTCAGAATGAACTAAGACTTGCAACAAATGTCAAAAATAATTTTAAAAAATTCTTTCAACATATAAAAAAATAAGAAAAAAGTCAAAGAAACAATTGGTCCACTAATGAGAGAAGATGGCAAGGAAGTGACAGGCAGCAGGGAGAAAGACAACCTGCTTAATTCTTTATTTGCATCTGTTTCATGCAAAAAGAAAAAATACCCCAACCTACCAAAAGGAGAACCATAACAGACAGACTAGGAATACAAATTAAAACAGGCAAGAAAATTTTAAGACAATACCTGTCCACTCTAGACAAGTTCAAATCACCAGGACCAAATGGATTACATGCCAGGTTTCTGAAGAAGCTGGCAAACGTGATCTCAGAACCATGAAACCATATCTTTCAAAGATCCTAGAGCACCAGAGAACTACCAGAGGACTGGAAAAAAGCTGATGTAGTTTCCATCTTCAAAAAAAAGGGAAAGGAACAGATCCAGGAAACTACAGACCAATCAATACCTGGGAAGATCCTGGAAAAGATAATCAAGCAAGATTTTCAGACACGTAGAAGCAAGATCCAGATTGACCTTGACAGACTTGAACACTGGGCCTTATCTAACAAAATGAAATTCAATGTAGAAAAAAGTAAGGTTTTACATTTAGGTAAGAAAAACCAACCAGATAAGATTAGTTGAAACTTGACTCAATAGCAGTAACTGACAGGAAACAATAGTTGGAAACTAACCAAGGAGGGAAGCAACCTACTGTAGAACTAAGGAGAAATTTCCTGACAATGAGAACAATAAACCAGTGGAATGGCTTGCCTTCAAAAGTTGTGGATGTTCCATCAATGGAGGTTTTTAAAGAGACTGGATAGCCATTGTCTGAAATAGTATAGGGTCTCCTCCTTGAGCAATGGTTGGACTAGAAGACCTCCAAGTCTGTTCCAACACTTGTTATTCTGTTATTCTTTTATTCAATAGCAAAAAGTTAAGGAAAAGCCATGGATTGCAGTAATCCAGTAAGAACAAAAGTAAATTATTTCAGAATGTTAACAGAAGCTATAGGTTCTGGGCAGTCACCAGGAGTCAAAATTGATTCAAAGGCACAAAACCTACCCATGGTTAAAAAAAAGCCTACCATGATACAAATTGCCTTTGAAGCTTTAATTCAGAGAAGTTGGAAGATAGTTGCTAGAAACTATGTCTTAGATATACTGATATATCTGGGGAAATTTAACTTTGAAAAGAAAAGACTTGAGGGAGCATACAATAACACTTTTCAAATACTTGAAAGAGCATCACACGAAAGTCTTTGCAGAACTTATTTAAATTATAGTAAATCAAATTGTGACCTAATCATTTTTTTAAAATCCCTAACAGTAAGAACAGTTTTACAGAGGAGCCAATTAGCCAAAGGAGACTCCAAGAGGTTGGATTTAATGATTTAAATAATCTTTTGAAATTTCTCACTGAATTATGTGCAGTTTGTGAGAGTATCCTTTGCCCACTCTGTCAGCTTTCTTATATGAATATTCAGGGCCACAAAATATAAACTGTAAATTACAATCCACTGATATCATCCTATATCCTCAGTAGTTGCTGTCATCATTTTATGGGGTTAAACATCAAAACAGAACCAACATAATTCCCTGTCTTGATTTTTCAAATGAAGTTGGAGCAGAAATTTTAAAAGAAGTCCAGAAATACGGATAATTATAAAATTCCAGCATCAGATGTAATTTTGTCCATCACAGGATGAAAACAGTGTTTAGAATTTCCCAAAACATTAATGATATATCAGGCAGTTCTAAAATGCAAGTCTATTGGACATCTTCCAGTTCCATACCTGCCATCCTAATCCTAGGGACAATAAATCTACTCTCTAGGGCTGTGCCCTTATTCTGTAATGATCTATGTTCAAGACTATTCCCTAAGGCATTTTTTTAATCCAAGGAGATTAAACAGAATACATTCTAAATATATTAAAGCAAACATACTTTAACTATTGAAGACAAAACAAAAAACTGAAAATATCTGTATGCCATTATCCATGTGTAAAACTTACATTAAGTTTTAAAACAATAAGAGAAAGCATAATAAAATATTTCTATTCCATTCCTGTTGAGGATCTAGTTTGGTTTTGTTTCGTTTTTTTGTGTGTATTTGCAGCTTGTTTTGATTTAATTTCTGATTTCCTATTCCTTAGACCTTCGGATAGCTTCAATGTCTTTTATTTTAAGAATTTCACCGAAGATATGTACCGTAAATGAGTAAATAAAGATAGCACTTTGAGAAAAAAACAAATATGAAATGAATAAATTGTGAATATATAGTGAAAATATTCAAATTCCGAGTAATTTTATGCTAAACTCCGTTTTAATTAATTTCTGAGATAATATACATAATTCGACGGACATCCTTGATTTCTTTTAAAAAATATATTTAAAAGGCATTATCAGCAAATTCCTCAAACTTCAGCCAACCCCCACCGGCTGCAACCCGGTTAATTAGCGGGTTGGTTGAGATGGTTTTGAATGTATAGCTGCCCAGCCTACGATTTGTTCCCGGAACCATTACTTACCCGTCATGCCTGGGAGGAACAACAGTAACACGGGGATGATTAACAGGTCTGTCTGACTTCGTCCATTCTCCCGCTGTGGACGAACGCCTCGAGTCGCCATAGCTCGTTCTTTGCCACCCGCCCCATCCGCCAGCCACCCCGGCGCCTTTTCATTGGCTGACAGATCCCTCCAGTCCCGACCGATCGTCTGAGACAGGATAGAAGGCTATGAGGGAGGGACCCCTTAAGAATCCGGGGAGAAAACGTTTTCTGCTGTTTCGCGAAATTCTTAGCGATCGGGATATTGGCAGGCTGTTTTTGCGAGTTTTATATAAAAGTTATAAAGTATTTTATATCAAAGACTTTAATTAATTTATCTAGCAGTGTATAATCTCTTGCCGGCCTATTTCTCCCTGAAAGGAAATTACAATTCCCATCTGTATAATTATCCCAAAGAATTAAATGAAGAAAAGTGAACCATGAAAAAAGTCATGGTTCTATTTAGAAAAATTAAAAGGATTTGAGAAAACCTCTAATATTATGTAGCATATATGCATTTTGACATTTGACTAATGTGGAGAAAAACAAAGTTTTACATTTAGGCAGAAAAAATCAAAGGTACAAGTACAGATTGGGCAAGACCTGGCTCAAAAACAGTAACTGTGAGAGGGACCTTGGAGTCCTAGTGGATGATCACTTGACTATGAACCAGCAGTGCGCAACAGCAACCAAAAAAGTTAATACAATCCTGGGTTGTATAAACAGAGGCATAGAATCAAGATCACACGAAATATTATTACCGCTTTATAAAACCCTAGTAAAACCACACCTGGAATACTGCAGCCAATTTTGGTTATCATATCATAAAAAAGATGTTGAGAGTTTGGAAAAAAATCAAAGAGCAATTAAGATGATCAAGGGTCTGGAGACTAAAACATATGAAGAACGGCTGTGGGACTTGGGTTTGGCTAGTCTAAAGAAAAGAAAAAATAAGGGAGACATAATTCCAGTGTTTGAGGGGCTGCCACAAAGAAGAGGGGGTCACGTTATTCACCAAAGGGAAGGACAAGAAACAATGGTTGGAAATTGATCAAAGAGAGAAGCAGCCTGGAATTAAGGAGAAATTTCCTAACAGTGAGGACAATTAACCAGTGGAATAGCTTGCCTCCAGAAATCTTGGGTGCTCCATCACTGGATATTTTTAAGAAGAGACTAGACAGTCACTTGTCTGAGATGGTAAAGGTTCTCCTGCTTGAGCAGGGGGCTGGACTAGAAGACCTCCAAGATCCCTTCTAGCTCTATTCTATTCTAAGTCCAATGCCATGATTAGTAAGTAGTGCAGTCTAAAGCATTACAGAAAAATGCCAGACCTCTGAACACATCCAGTTCTTGTGGAAAACGAAAGGACTCTTACAAATTCCAGAGAGTTTTAGCAGAGAGGTTTATTGCGCAGGTTCAGAAGCAATAGCAACAAGCAATTCTGAACCCCAAGGGCGGGTTCAGACTTCAGTTTTATACATTCCTTTTCTCAGGAACAAAGAAATACACATTGAAATACACATTGTAATACATTAGGTTCATTTCTCACGGGTATACAATGGAGGGTTTGCTACATACATTGTATCCATGCGTAATGCGCATTAGGTTAGTCACATACTACTGACACAGCACTATTCTAGTATTTGTTCATTATTCTACCTTATTCCCCCCTTTGGAAGTTTTCTTGCTTAAACTTCCATCATTCTGCCTCCAATTCAGGATCTTTAGAGGGCAACATTTTATATTCCCATAAAGCTAATATTGTTTCATGTTTTGCAGTTAATTGGGCTGTACTTTCTGAGATTCTTCGAATCATGGCCACAACACAGGGGAGTAAGCAGGGAATCAAAATACATCCTAGAATTAACAAGACTGCTATAACTATGATGGTTTGTAGGCCTGGTAACTTTGGCCATCATCCTGAAAATATGTTTTTCAAATTAAATCCTTTCCAGGTTTGCACCAGAACATGAGCTAGTTTGACCATTTTGTCTGTTATGTCCTTCAACACTTTTCCACTTTCATCTATTTCGATGCAACAGTTTGTTAGGTTGAATTTTCCACATACCCCTCCTTTTTTGGCCAACAAATAATCCAATATTGCATAATATATGTCCTGGATTTCACATTTTCTTTGGCCAATTCAGTTAGTCCCTTCACAGTCTCATTAGTAATTAACTCTACCACCACTTGTAACCTAATGAGCCTGTTGAGCATATAAATAGGGGTACGATATCCATACATTCCATCCTCAGCCCTCAGGCTACCGTGCCATAAGCTTTGATAATGTGGCAAGGTGGCCATTCATGTTCTTGCCAAGTGACTCCTGCGCATTGGGAGAGTACATTTAGTTCCCTTCTTTGTCTTACATTGCCAACTTCCTCATAGATGGGAACACCAAGAATTTGCTTAGTTTTTAATGGTAACAGGAAAAATCCTGGTTTAATTATTCCCAATACACAAGATCCACACCAGTTCTTAGGTAGTTGTCTGTATGCCATTTTTCCGCAAATCCAGTACATTCCATCTGGGGCTAGCCAAGGGAGACTGGTATTTGTGGGGTCTTTTAGATATGGCATCCCAGATATGTTAGTAAGGGCATAATGATCCAGAGTAGTGGTTTCGTTGGTTCCAGAACACCATTTACCATTTTCCCAAATCCCTGTGCACAGGAGGTTACCTATTGCTACGCAAGATTCTGTTTTGTTCCTTAAGTAGCATACATGTCCTACCAGGTTGGAAGTGAGAGTCCAATCGCCATCTTTCCTACTCGTATAGGTTAAACTACTATTCTCAGACATTTCTAGAACCTTGGTATAATTTAACTCTTGTGCCTCCCATGGCCATTTTTCTCCCATATTTGTTCCACCACACACAAAACAGTTGGACACGTTTAAAGTATGGGCAATATCTTCGGCTAACTTAACAAAGTTATTGGTTACATGTCTAGGTATGTCAGGAATATTTAGTTTCTCCATCTCCTCATAATATGACCAAAATAATGGTTTTTGTTCTGATCTTTTGGTTGCAGTTATAATTTTGATTCTACCTCTGATATTGGGTCGTAGCCATTGGCATCTATTCCTATCCCAAACATCCAATTTTGTCTTTCCCATTTATTTTGTTCCAGGAACCAACTGCCATTCTTGAGTGTAAGAGTCACCAAATTACAGTTATCCCTTCCACCGGAGTCTGCTTTTGTATTATTCTTTTCAAACAAGATGTGCTCCATCTCCTTTGGGTCTTGGGTATGCCACTTAATACATGACCACCACTTACATCTGACCATGGAGACTGCACACCCATCCGGTGGGCACAAATACTTATGGTTTGGGATGTAGCTGTGGATTCGACTGATCCCTCCGCAACCATCAATTGCGGCCCAATAATTAGCTGCCTTACAAACATCAAAGGTTACGCTAAAACTGGAGTGTGGGTTGGATTTCCATTGAGAGATCCCTAATAGTGCCTGGTCTCTAACGCTCCTATCTGTTCTACGTGTTCAGATTTGTAAGGCCCAACTATCAGGATTAGACTTCGGGTTATAACACTGATCTTGGACCCCTTTTTTACAAACTTTATATGTAGTTCTATTGTATGTACAGGAGCTAGGGGACCTATCCTGGCACCCTTCTGGTTTCATTGTATAATAAATCAAAGTCTTAGTTATCTGGCTTCCTTATTTTGTAATCTTGATGCAGTTTTGACAATCCTGGTTTCCCTGTGTTTTTGTTCTTACTTTGTGTGTATTACTCAATAGTTTTCTATTAGAGGGTTTCTGCGGTATGACCTCTTGTGTAGCCATTGCACTGATTTGTATAGGAATGTGTGTGTATATTCCCCATATTAAATAACCAACAGGTATTATAATCTGTAGAATCCTCATGTCTTCCACTGTGCATAGAGAGACAGCTTCCAGAGTGTCTCAGCAAGGTCTGATGTTCACACTGTGTGTTGAGAACCCGTTGCCAGTAGGGTTCGACAGGGTATATTTCTTGTAAATTTCAACACTAAAGGTTTGTCAGTTTTATCCACCTTGTAAGTTACTGGATCAGCAGGTGCAGCTGCTTTCAATCTACTCCAGTGGACCCAGGACTTTCCCTCCAAGGTTTTCACTGCCAATGGAGAACACATGACAACAGTATATGGTCCTTTCCATCTTGGGCTTAAGGGATCTGATTTCCAATGTTTCACCCATACCCTATCTCCTGGTTTGAACCCATGTGTTGCCGTGACCACTGGAGGGGGTTGTTGTTCCATCATATAATGGCGCAAATTTGAAACAGCTAAATTATGAAGCTGTAACTGGTGTAACAATTTCTGTTGGTCTATTCCCCCCTTATGAGCCAAGTCCGGCCAGCCCTGACTGTCAGGTTTAAATAGACAAGGGGCACGGCCAAACATGAGCTCATAAGGGCTAAGTTGCAATTTAGTGTGGGGGGCCAGTCTGAGTGCATACAAAACCACAGGCAAAATGTCTGGCCAATGGAGATGAGTTTCCAAACAAAATTTGGTAATAAGGGTTTTAATTGTACGGTTAGCCCGTTCCACTTTACCAGCTGATTGAGGGTGAAAAGCACAATGAAATATCCACTTAATACCTAATGCCTGGGCTAAAGCCTTATTAATTTGATGTACGAACTCAGGGCCATTATCTGATGAAATCTTAGAAGGGCAACCAAATCTAGGAATAATTTCTTTAAGAAAGATTCTGGCAACCTGTATAGCTTTCTTATTTACAGTCGGAAAGGCCTCAATCGACCCTGAATAGGTATCAATTATAACTAGCAGGGTTACATAGTTCTTACTCCTAGGCATATCAGTAAAATCAACAATGACATAGTCCATTGAAAAATAAGCAATTTGTTGTTGACCAGGCGGTACTACCGGTCCTTGGCGTGCATTGGTTTGAGCACAAATGGAACATTGAGAACACACTTGAGCCATTAGAGAAGAAGCAAAGGGAAGATAGAAAAATTGTTCAAGCTGCTGTAATAATGCAGTTTTTCCCAAATGATGTTGCTTATGGGCCTGAAAAATAAGGGGGCGGGCAAGCGCAAGAGGAACAGCAATGCATCCATCGGAAGGGTGTACCAGCCTTTAACCA